CCTTCCTCCCTTCCCCCCTCTCTCTTTCTCCCTTCCCCCCCTCTCTCTTTCTCTCCCTTTTTTCTCTCTCTCCCTCCCCCCCTCTTTCCTCTCTCTTTCTCTCTCAGATGTTTCCCGTCTGCGGGGCTTGAGTCATCCTCCCGAAACAGCTCCACCAATTTATCCAACCACAGCAAACTTTTATTAGCAGAGTCTTCTGGGGCAAGTAAAGAAAACAGAAGCTGAACAGATTTCCCAACACAGAGGAAAACACCAGCGCTTGACTGAATCCCGGAGTTGGAAGTCCAACCCTCTGCCCAAGATCACAGAATCACGGAAGGGACCCCCGGAGGTCTTCTAGTCCAATTCCTACTCAAACAGGAGACCTGACCCCTTTTCGGCCAAATGGGCTGCCCGATCGCTTCTCCTGGTCCTTAAGGGAAGTTCAAAGTGACAACCACACTTTAAAAACAGAGCGACGTGGGGCTGTTTTTCACACTTACGACCGTTGCAGCATCCCCCGTGGCCACGTGATCTGAATTCAGACCCTCGGCCCCTGACTCGTATTTATGACGGTCGCAGCGTCTCCTGGGGGGGGTCACGTGATTCGCTTTGGCGACCGTCTGACAAGCAGGAAGCCAGATTCGCTTAACCGATTCAGTTAACAACGGCAGGGATTCACAATGGGATTCGCAAGCAAGGCCGTCACACAAGGCGAAGCCCACTTAACCAATGCCTTACTCTGCGACCTAAATTTAGATGGCCCTTTTGCGGTCATCCTTTTGAGGGTGACCTAACCCAAGGGTCTCCAAACTTGGCAAGTTTAAGACATGCGGACTTCAACTCCCAGAATTCCTGAGCTAACATGACCGGAGGAGGAATTCTGGGAGTGGAAGTCCACAAGTCTTAAAGCTGTCGACTTTGAAGACTCCTAAATCTATCACCTATCACCTATCTATCATATCTATCTATCTAGTCAGTCTGTCTGTCTATCTATCTCTCTAGTCTGTCATCTCTATCTAGTCTGTCTGTTTGTCTGTCTGTCTGTCTATCTATATCTATCTAGTCTATCTATCTAGTCTGTCTGTCTATCTATCTAGTCTGTCTGTCATCTCTATCTAGTCTGTCTGTCTATCTAGTCTGTCATCTCTATCTAGTCTGTCTGTCTGTCTATCTATATCTATCTAGTCAGTCAGTCTGTCTATCTATCTAGTCTGTCTGTCATCTCTATCTAGTCTGTCTGTCTGTCTTTCTATGTCTATCTATCTAGTCAGTCGGTCTGTCTATCTATCTAGTCTGCCTGTCATCTCTATCTAGTCTGTTTGTCTGTCTGTCTATCTATATCTATCTATCTAGTCTATCTATCTAGTCTGTCTGTCTGTCTATCTATCTAATGCAAGGGTCTTCCAACTTGGCAAGTTTAAAGACTTGTGGACTCCCAGAATTCCCAGAATTCCTGAGCTAACATGACTGGAGGAGGAATTCTGGGAGTTGAAGTCCACAAGTCTTTAAACTTGCCAAGTTTGAAGACTCCTAAATCTATCACCTATCACCTATCTATCATATCTATGTATCTAGTCAGTCTGTCTGTCTGTCTGTCTGTCTATCTATCTATCTAGTCTGTCTGTCATCTCTATCTAGTCTGTCTGTCTCTGTCTGTCTGTCTATATCTGTCTATCTAGTCTATCTAGTCTGTCTGTCTGTCTGTCTATCTATCTAATCTGTCTATCTAATCCAAGGGTCTTCAAAGTCGACAGCTTTAAGACTTGTGGACTTCCACTCCCAGAATTCCTGAGCTAACATGACCAGAGGAGGAATTCTGGGAGTGGAAGTCCACAAGTCTTAAAGCTGTCGACTTTGAAGACCCATGACCTATAACAACAACAACCACCACCACAATTTGCTCTCAAATAAGTTTTTTTTTTAAATTTCCAATATAAACATACATTGCATTAACTGGGTCAAGTCTTTTTTAAGCAAAAACAATAATAATGCAAATAGGTACATATAGTTCTTTTTTTAATTTTAAAAAACTTTATTGAAAATTAACATTAAAATACAAACACCTTTAAAAGCAAAGTACGTTGACACATTTCACCATCGTTTTTTTTTTTTGACAGTACAAAGTCTTGCTTGTATTTATACATTCCAAATATCCATCCATTTCAACAGGTTCTCATTAGACAAAGTATATTTTTCCTCTTTTTAACCTATATCTTTCGTATTTTGCTGTCTATCCATTGGTACCAATTATTTCAAATTGTATAGTGGCAGCTTTAAGACTGGTGGACTCCAACTCCCAGAATTCCTCCTCCTCCAGTTATGTTAGCTCAGGAATTCCGGGAGTTGGAAGTCCACAAGTCTTTAAACTGGCTAAGTTTGGAGACCCTTGGATTAGGTCATCCTCAAAAGGATGACCTCAAAGGGGCGTCCAAATTTAGGTGGCCTCTTAGAGCTGAGGGATTGCAGAGAAAGGGATTGCAAGAGAGTAAGCCGATCCCAATGGGGATCCCCGTCAAAAAGGATGAATTTGGGTCAGGGAATTCTGGGACTTGAAGTCCACAAGTCTTAGATCCCTAATCTTCCGACTTCCCCAACTTCAACAGGGCTAATCTCTTTTCTAATCCATTTCTCACTGCCCCATTAATTCACTTCAACATAAATAACATTGCTTAGCCCCTTGTATTTATACTCCCTAAATACCATGAATTTCATATTTTCTAAGAATTATTCATACTTCCACCATAACTTCAACGTTCCAAATGTGGACTATTGAACAACGCCAATTTGCACTGAGCAGGATGAATGAACTTGGTCGCTGGTTTTCGTGGTCGTCCGTTGAGCCTGCGGGAATCAAAGGTTGTGGTTGTCCTTTGTGATAGTTGTGTGGTTTCCCCTGGGATGCATGGGGGGTGTGGGGGGACACGCCAGGATGCCAAGATATCAATCCATGCGTATCGCACCCCATGCCGACTTGAACGGTGTCGCCGGCTGTGATTTGACATCTTAACTGCTGGAGATGCTGGGCTGGGAAATTTTCTTTCTTTACTTGATTGTCCTTGCGCCTCCTACATCGAAATTAAATGCCATCTTCAGTGTACATCTATCTTCTATATATATAAAAGCAAAATACCCCTCACGCATCATCACAAAATCTCCCGAACCGTAAAGTCTACAAACGTGCAATCTGGCATGTAGGTTCCTCTTGGCTTCTAGGGGCTCACTAAGAAAGGATTTTTCAAAATGACCATCAGAGCATTATTATTATTATTATTATTATTATTATTATTATTATTATTATTATTATTATGCTCTGATGCTAAGGAGTTCTACTCCCCCTCCCCACCTGAAAAGAAATCTTTTCCAAATGCAAAACGCAAGCAGAGGAGTTTCAGTTTCACAGCAGCACCAAGCAGCTTTAGTACAGAACAGTTGAGCTAAGCCACGCCCAGGCTCCTTGCTGTCTCCTTCTTGCTCACGCAGCAAATACTCTTTCAGTTTCCAAACAGCCCTCAACCGTCTCACACACTGACAGGATGCTAGCAATACTGATGGATGCTGGTAGGCAGAGGCAGAATTTTTTTTTTCCTTATTTACTCCCCCAAAACTAAGCCCAGCCACATAGTTTCGTAGGAAACACGGGTATTGAGCTAGTTATACATCAATAAATAAAATAAAACACAAATACACGTCCTTTGCATTCTATGCAATTGAACTGCAAAATCCCTGATATTGCATTAATACTGCACCATACAGTAGAATTCAATATAGTTATATTGCTCTGGGAAATAACCAGGATGCCTTCTTTTCTCCTCTCTGGGGTTTTTTTTATTTTTCCTCTAGTCCAGAGAACCAGATTTCCCTCCATCCCAGGGTCCTTTCCTCGGCTCGGGATGCTGGAGTTTGTAGTCCCCGGCCCCTCTGGAAGAACACGCCTTGCAGAACCATGCTGTTCTATCCTAGACCTTCCCAAGATCCCGAAGCCGACTCCTCATCCCAATAAAACCCCTTTTTATTTAGGTTAAAGGGAATTCCTCTCCAGCAAAGTCCCGGCCAACAGCCTTTGAAGAGATTTCACAACCGCAGACCTTGATCAGGCTGGGAGAGTTGCCAGGCTGATGGCTTCCAAACGCCATGCGGTAGCAGCAATTACTTGGCAAGAATGTCGGAACAGATCTTCATTCTAATGAAGAGATGGATGGATGGATAGATGGATAGATAGATAGATAGACAGATAGATAGATAGATAGATAGATAGATGGGTGGATGATAGTTAGAGAGATAATAGGTACATAATGATGATAGATTACAGATATAGATGATAGATGACAGAGATATGGATAGAGATAGATAGATAGATAGATAGATAGATAGATAGATAGTAGGTAGATATAGATGAAAGGCATAGATGAAAGATTATAAATAGATAGATGATATAGATAGATAATAGATAGACAGACTAGATAGATAGATAGATAGATAGATAGATAGATAGATAGATAGATAG